TTTTTTAAAAATATAAATTTATGTCTCTATATCTAATACACACCAAATATGAGTATGGTATTTGTTTTGAAATTTAAAATGGTTGGGATAATGAAAGAAAATAGAGAGTTTCAGTTTGTCATTTTCTTCCCAATTCAAAGCAGGTCAAGAATTTTCACTGCACCCACTCTCTCTCTCGCGTGGTCTCCCTTTTCCTCCTCCTTGCAGTATAATACACGTACACAAGTTATCACATATTTTCATCTTTTGGAAGCAAATATCAAACTGTGATCGGTGCTTTGGGTGGAACAAAGGGTTTCATAGCATTAGCCCGACCATTGGCTATTTTCATCTGAAGAATTTCAAGGTAGGATACATATATGTGCAAATGGCTTGTCCTTTATATACTATTTTGTAACGTTCTACATGAAATGTTAATCGACATATGGGTCGTACATCGAAATAAAATGCGACATTCCTCTGGACTTTTGGAAAGACACTGCAAAACGTATTAGAGAACTCGATTGGTCACTGATTACTCTTAGCCCTTATCTGGGAGCAATTGTTACCGAATTTTAATCAAAAAAATTAACCATTACGCAGAATATGGTCCCATACAACCTAACATGAATTGACTCTCTCTCCCCAAATCATGCACGGGTAGTGCTATGTGTACACAATGGTGTACACAATCTTTTACACCCATCTCTCATGGAGGGGGCCCACACATAATAAAATATTTGTGAACCCCCCTCCATGTGATGGGGGTGTAAAAGATTATGTACACCACAAGGTGTACACATAGAATAATCATTTTTGATAATATCTCTATGCAGTCCCACTCAAAAGTGATGACTGTCCGACCCTATACTGAGTAACGGTTGAATTGTTGATTGGAATTTTTAAACAATTGCTCCTAGACATACGCTTGATGAACAGAGGAATAGGCTTGCCAAGGGACTACCAAGTGACTTTTGCAATACACTAGTCAACGTTAAGCGTGTATGAAATGCTTTATAAGTATAGTAAAAGTAATATTTGAATGTTAATTAATTTATAATTAATATCAAGAAATATATACATAACAATTAATATTAAATCATTTATTTAATTTTCAATTAAGTAAAAATGGAACATTAATTACATATATGGATGTAAATAATGAAATGCATTCTTGAATTCTAATTGACTCATAATTAGAATTAATAACATTGAATTACATAGATGAAGATGAGTATTAATTAAATGAGTATTAATGTTAATTAATTAAGAATTAATAATAGAAAATTCATACATTAATGAAGGCACACGGGTGAAATGAGCCCCCGTTTGTTTCCCATTATTTGTCAACAAGAATTAAATTTTCTACCCTTTTTTTCCAACACGTGGGTCCCATTGTGAGATAAAAGGTCAAAAAAATGGCTGCCTAGATTTGCAACGGTAAGAAAATTTATTAAAATGAACTACAAAATTGGAAACAAGCAGGTTGTGAATCTGTCAAATGTACATGTACATTGATGATAAGTAAATGATTAAATAAATTAAATACATATTGAGAAATGAAAGTGATATATTATTGAAATAATTGAATTATAGTAGGATTATAATCGTCTAAAAAATGATTCTCGTGTGATATTTAATATTATAGATAGATGTGTTAGACTCCATGTTAAACGTTTCAATAATTTAGTTGGATGTTTAAGCCAAGTGTTGTCCATTTACTTTTCTTGGTTTTCTTTATATATATTCATTGGATTGTAATAGATGACGAGCTGCAAATTTCTTTCCAGTTGTTTATGACATTACCGTTTGGAGTCAAGGACAGGTTGCGATTAATTAGCTAAATGACTTATAGTCTTTAAGCTGTGTCAGTGTTAAGAGGTATCCTTGGGTAAAAATTGAGTCAGTTCTTGCATGTTAGGTTTAATTTATGTGACAATAGGCTTTTACAAAGGAAAATACATAAAAATAGCCAAAATAAAAGGCCTTATTTCTACTTTTGACCTTTGACCTAAAATGGGGAAATAATTGGAAATACTCGAAATTCAAAGATAGCCTTTCCAAACTAGCTTTTGACTATTTTAAATTTTGAAACTAGCTAAAATATCCTCGAAAATAATAATTGCATCTGAGTCACTATCATATGAAAAAAATACAATCAAGACCTATAAAAAATTATTATCATAAGAATGACCGATAAAACTTATAAAAGACCCAAATCTAAAAGAGAACCATATAAAATTAAAAGAATCAAAAAAGAAATTGAGTTTGAAAATGAATTTGATAAGATAGAATATGAAGAACAATTAAACGCATCCCAAGAAATATTTAAATGCTTTAAGAAAAACATGATAGAAAATTTTGTTAATGGAATAGCAAGATCTATACTAATAAACAATATACAACATATTATAGACAAACTAGAAAAAAAGAAAAAGAGTGTTTCAAAATATGATATACCTTTTAACTCAAATATAGATATAATAATAGATCTTGACATTATAAATTCTCAAAC